ATATATATATATATATGTATATATATTAAGAATACTTTATTAATTGATTGCGAAAATAATGTGATATTGTGTGTTAATAGTTAAATTTTATATACAAATTTAGATCTTTATGCATGGTGCTGAAAGTGTTGTTGAGTTGGTTGTGCATGTTGGCAGGCTTGATTAGCAACATAGGGGATGCCTGATGTTGTGATGGTGGCATATTGAAGTGCTCCTGTGAGTTAGCGATAGAGAGTATGATCATGAAAATGTGTTTTAGTGTGGTCGGCGGAAGTTGTTTGGAGAGTCGTAGTCCATTCCTGCATTATGAGTGATATTGGAGATGTAATGGGTTTGGTTGAGATGAATACCTCGGGAGGTGCGATTGAATTGAATGGCAAGGAATGTATCAAATGATACTTTGCAAATGATACTATGCATTCATTATCTCGCCCATAACTTGGTTAGTTTTCTTGTCCTAAATCTGGTAACCAGAAGCATCAAATGATACTATGCACTCATTTTCTCGAGCCAGGTTTTGAACTGATAGTAAATTGAAGGCTACATTTGGAGTGTGTAATAAACAAGAAAGATGAAGCTTACACTTTGGGGTAGGTAGAATTATGTTACCTGTGTGAGTTATGGGGATTGTCTTACCATTTTAAACTGTGATTTGTTCATTACCTGTGTATGGCTAAGGATATTAAACTTGAGTAAAATGATTGGCAATGTGTGTTTACACGTCAGTGTCCAATATCCAATATTTAGTAGAGATATCATTTGTTGCTATAAATGCTTTGGAGGAGTAGTTTGAGTGTAGGTGTGATTGGTGCGATGCCAACACTTTTTGGCGGTGTGCCCATATTTGTCAGAAAATTGACACTGGATGCGAGGCTTGGGGGAGGCATCAAAAGTTTGGTTTGGGGTTGTAAGTTCAGCTCTTTTGGTTTGTTTGGAAGGTTGTTTGTGCTTAAATCGTGGATGGAAAGAGGTTTTGGTAGCCATCAAGTTGAGTTGGGTGGCTGATTGTTCTCTTGTAAATTGCACATTGATATTTCCCTCTTCGCTGCATAGTAGAGAGTATAGATCCTCCAATTTGATCGGCACAGATTGACAAGAATAATTGTTTTGAAAGAGTTGTATGTGAAAGGTATCCCATTGAGAGTATATAAAATGACATCTTTTGTGTCAACCTTCGATCCGGTTACATCAACTTGATCTACAAGTTTTTTTATCTCCGTTAGATATTGAATCACAGAATTTGTAACCATAGAGATGTGATGCAATTCATTTTTGAGTTGGATCACCTCCAAGCGATTTGAGGATTGTAGTTGTCGAAGTAATGTCATCCAGATTTCAATGGTGGTGTTAAGATGAAGAACATATGAAAGAATGTTGTGTGAAATGGTGGTATAGAGAGCAGCAGAGAGATTGCAATCTGTTTGCTTCCATATGATGTATTCTTGATTGCTAACATGAAGACCGTTGAGATCGATAAGATATTTAGGTGGACAAAGAGCTTCTTCGGTGAGAAGATTCAAAACCCATTTGCCTAAAAAACTTTCATAAAAGGTGTGAACAATTTAGATATTTCGGGTTTGTTGTTCATTGTGTTGGTGATATAGATGGGGATGTTAATAGGGTTTAGGGTTTGTGAACAGTTTGTTCATGTTGAACACAAACTCGTGTTCGGCTCATTCCTCCATTTAAACCAACCAACTTGAATTCTACTTTAGGGTTTAGGGTTTGTGAACAGTTTGTTCATGTTCGACTCGATTTAAATATTCATGTTCGTGTTCGGCTCGAAATTGGCTCGTTAAAATTAAATTGAAAAAAATAGATATAAAGTGTGGGATTCGAACCTGGAACAAATGTATATAAAAGAAGACACTAACCACATTATCACATGAGCTATTGTGATTTAAATTTAGATATAAATATATATAATATATTATTATATAAATAATATATGTAATATATTATTATATAAATAGTTATATAAATTTTTTTTTTTTATTTCGAGCTAAAACGAGCAAAACACTAGCGAACAAAGAGTTCTTCGTGTTCGGCTCGTTTAAAATTCGAGCGTTAAAAAATTGTTCGTGTTCGACTCGTTTACTTAACGAACGAGCCGAACACGAGTTAATTAACGAGCCAAACACGAGTTGTTCGCGAAGAACGAACTTTTTTGACAGCCCTACCCAACTAACGACTAATTTTTAACCTAATTTTTATTAAGACTCAACGTACAAAAAAAAAAAGGAAAAAAGAACTAGACCTTTAGATAAAAAAATTGTCTCCCAAATTAGGAAACCTAATTTCAAAACACATCCTAACTGGCCACTAATTTCTAATCTAATTTTCCTTGAGGCTAAATTTATAAGAAAAAAAAAAACAGATTAGAAAAATTAAATTAAATTTTGCATAAAAAATAAATAAATCTTAAATCATGATATTATTTTTAATGATATGAAATTATATCATTTTTTCTTTCCTTTCGAGATGAGCATTCGTATCCCACAACCTAAAATATTTTTTATATTTATAGCAATTATTATTATCAAATCTATAATCTTATAAATTAAATAGAGCGGTTGACTTTTGCCAGACAGTATTTGAGCCGACTTAGATCAAACAGTTCAGAAATGCCATTGATTGACCTATCATTATTATTTAATTTTTAATCAATTTTTAATTAAATATTCATAAATTTGAAGTTCTGGAATACTATGTCATGATGATTGATGCATGTTAGTTTAAAGCATGGATGATGCATCACTTTGATGCATAGTCTGCCAGGCGAATGAAGCAAGTTATGGTTCTTTTTTTAGCTGCACGCGTAGAATGAGACATGTATTTGTCAAATTTTATTGGCATAAATACATTTACAGATACAAAAATCACTGATTTTTCAGATATAAATTTAAAGTATTTAAGTGGGTAGCCATGTAATTTCAGATTTAATAAGAGCAGTTAGGTGGCCAACTTGACCAGAGACATTGAAAAGGTTTTGGATGAAGGATTAATTTCAGATTTAGTTTGTAATATGAATTGCCAAGTTGCCTCTAAAAATGAATGAAAGAAAGAAAAAAAAGGTTGGTATAGCGTACAATTTTTATTTCTTTTAAAGAATTTCCTTAAGCGTGTTAGTCTTCTTCGACTTAGGATCTGTTTTGGGCAGCAGTACTATTGCGGTGCGTGTTTTCGCAGACTTGCAATTCTGTTTGAGGCGATGTTGGTCTGAATTTTTTTTTTCCTCACTGCGTTCTACGATTTCACGTATGTTTTCCCTATGCGTTTCAAGGTTTCACTTATATTTTTTCTCAACTCTCCCAACTCTACCCCCGTAATCTCCCACAAATCTCTCTGTATTTTTGATTTGGTTTCTTCTTCAATTTCTTAATTCAATATTGTTCTTCATTGCACGTATGCCTCAAATTTTTTGTCTTCTCTCATCTCGATCATTTGCGTTCAACGATTTCATTTTTGTTTTCCCTCAACTTTTTCAACTCTATCATCGCAGATCCCTCAGGTTTTTTTTATTTGTTTCCTTCTTCCATATTCTCATTCCAGATTGTTCTTTATTGCATGTATGCATTTACTTTCTTTTCATTCCTCATATCGATCATCTGTGTTCCAAGATTTAACGTATATTTTCTCTCAACTCTCCCAACTCTACCCTCGTAGTCTTCCACTGATCCCTCGGGCTTTTTTCGATCCAATTCCTTCACCATCTTCTTAATTGCACATTTGTCTTAACTTGTCTTTCCTTATCTCGCTCGGATGTGTTTTTCCATATTCCATCTTCTTATTCAATTTTTTTTTGCTAGGGTTTATGCATTTTTTGTTTTTCTCTTCTATGTTATGGGGCTTTCTACTGTTTTGTGATTTGTCGAAATATGATATAACAAGTGAGAGCTTATAAAACTCACTTATGTATGTGTTAGAGTAATTTTGATTATGACATCTATCTTTTCTCTTAATTATTTGGTATGTTGAAATGTTATTCTATGTCATGTGATATATTGCTTTTAATGTTATATAATAATGAACTTTGTCATTTTGTTAGAATTACTTATAAAATTGCGGACTAATAACTAACACTAACTACCCCATATACACAAAGACATTACTGTATTTTTTCTTAGTAACAATTGCCGCACAACAAATAATCTAAACAACTATATTGTTTCACCATCGATTGTTTCTAACAACAGTTTATTCTGAAAAAAACTTCACACCTACTTATTGAAACAATTGCAGCAGCCCAAAACATACTATTAATTGTTAATTAATATAAAAATTACAGCTGATTTTAAATTCAATTATTGTCTAAAATATGCTTTATATATATATATATATATTCTTATAAATTCCTAATGGTCGCAGGTGCTCACACAATTGGTTTCTCACACTGCAGCAACTTTGCGAACCGGATCCGAAATTTCAGCAACGACGAACCGGTTGACCCGATCCTGAACCGGACCTACGCGGCCCAATTGCAGAGCCTGTGCCCTCCCAATGTGGACCCCACTATTGTAGCCGCTTTTGACCCCACCAGCCCCTTTCGGTTCGACAACCGTTACTTCAAAAATCTCCAGATGGGCATGGGCCTTCTAACCTCTGACCAGACGCTCTACACGGACCCAAGATCAAGGCCCACAGTCAATACGTGGGCTCAAAACGACCAACTTTCAGCACAGTATTTTATTTTGGCAATGACCAGAATGGGTCGGGTGGGTGTGAAAACCCAGCCCGATCAGGGCAACATCCGCCGCAACTGCTTCGCTTTTAATTAATTAATTAATCAGCCGCATAATTGCAACTTGGGGGAGGTTATCATCGTCATATTGGAATGTGGCGAATTTGAGTAAATTTATAATTGATTTTTTAGAAGATAATTATTTTTTATTATTAATCCATTTCAGCTCATTGTAGTTTTCGGGAAAATTGAAGCAGCAAGTCATATTGTAAAGCTCAGAGCGAAATTCATGTTAAGGTCTGATTTCATTTTTTAGTAAGATCAAATGGAAGCATTTTGTGGTGTAAAACAAACTTGCTGGCTTGCTAGATAATTCTGAATAGCAGAGAAATTTTTTTTTTTAATTCAGCTAGAATATTCAGTGCACGCTTGGAAACGTGATAAGTGATACGCCCTCAACAAATTTTCATGATTCAATGCGTATTTCGAGCCATAATGCGGATGTCAGAGCAATTTGTTGAGCCAAGAATGTTTAAATTTTGATTAAGAGACATCCACTTCTTATTTCAGCACTCAGTCAAACTAGTCGTCTCGACAAGTCGGACATAATGATACTAAAATTTGTCAAATTTAAGCCAAATCAAGTTCAGATAAACTATTAAACAATTGTTAGAAACTTTCCGAGCATTTTTGGAAGATTAAATGAGTGTCTAATTCGACTAGTCGATTCGATTCGATAAGACGAATCCAACGAGCTTAAGATCGCTCAATTCTGACATCTATAACAATCAAATGTTCATCAAACGTTATATGATCTAAGGAAGTCCTCTGAGCTGTTCGGTCAAAATGATTCATATTCCTAAATTTCATAATATATAATAAAAAAAAAATCTTTCTATAAAATAGAAAAAAAACTATAACGTAAACAAATTATTATTATAAGAAATAAAATATTTTTTTTCAATTGAGAATCAAATCAAACAATATTTTTATAATTTTTTTTTTCTTAAATATTGGAAGTAAAAGACGATAAAATTACTCGTTTATCAATAATTATTAATTTATTTTACATATAAAAAAAGAAATTTTAAACTTTGTAATGAACAAAGTCGCCTTGAGCCATTCCTAGGTAGCCATTGATGTCAGTCGTGCAAGAAAATTTTGCATGCGACGTGTCGTCCGAACGTGAGCTACGTCCGGACGACCGACGAGATTTTTTTCTTTTTTCGTCAGTGTATCGCATCGGTTGTCAAAATTTTTCCATTCATGCATCACAAAGCGAATCAAAAGAGTACAATTAACGCCAAATTTTATTTACTAAAAAAATTGCAAAAATTAGGCATAAAACAAATTCATAATGACACAAAAATCCCATTTAGTGGCATCCTGAAATGGATCGATCAGAATTCTAATAGATACAGTTTCTTTCAACAACGCTTCTGAGAATCTATTTTACAAAAAAAACTAAATCCTGTAAACTACAACAGACTCACAGAAGATTCATCAGCAATATCACCATCTAATACAGGAAGGTCTGCATTGCAATTCCCTAAATTCTCCGGCGGCAAAATAACAAATTTGACCCACTTTTTATCTTTCAAAAACTGCATGATTGGATGCAAAATAATTCCTAGAAGAAATACAGCTCCACTTACAGCAAAAGTTCTGAAAGAAGCCAGACACATAACGAGAAGCAGCAGGAAAGCCGGAGGGAAGCACATGACAGTCGCCCAGAACGTGCCGACGGGAACCTTATATGGTCTGTGCAGATGGGGTTTACTTACTCTGAGTTTAATGAAAGCTGCGAACTCCAGAAGCATTCCTAAAGCGTATAAGAAATTGAGGAATTCGAGTATCTGTTGGAAGCTCATCCAAGAGAGCAGCAGAACGCCAGTTGCAGAGCATAGGATGCTGACCGTTGGAGTCCCATATTTTGATCTGCGAAAGCTAATTATGAGTTTTAAGTTGTTCAAAAGATAATGGGTCATTTACATGCATAGCACCCTTGTCCTATGTATTGGTGGTATTGTGATGATATTATGGTGAATAACATCATAATACCATTAAATCCACACATATGCTGTCCGCACTTAATATTTCTTCCAAGCCAAGGGTTAGATCCCATACTTTGCATAGGCAAACTTGATCTATGACAGGATCATCAAGAACTTTGATTGTCCCTTTTAGTTTTTCTCTTGGGAGTTTGGCTCTCAACAATTTTCCTAGGAAAACCAACATTCTTAAGCCTCCTAGGTTGGTCTTTTGCTAAATTTAGCCTTTCTCAAAGAAGAAGAAAAAAAAAAACTTTGGTGTGAATACCTAAGTATTTGCATTTTGCCCTCTTCTCTTTAGTTTCTCAGAGATTTTGATCCCCAAACCTTTTGTTCAATAAAATTGGCCTCCTCTCTTGGACCAATAAATTTCAAACGTAATATTATCAATCATGAGGCTACTATTATAAAAGTCTTAGGTCTATAGCACTAAGGAAATATAATTTGGTTTTCTTCTGCCGTTAATGTCAAACCTTTAGAATGAATCCTCCAATCTATTTGTAGAGTATTTACAAATGCACCACACAATTTTAATGTATTTATTTATATATAACTTAAATTTTAATATCTAAATATATAACACTTTAGTCTTTTGATAATATCAAAACATATGCATGAAAATTTGTATATCACTTTAAATTAGCGATATTTTCTATGCAAATTAAAAAATTAGGTGCTATGTTAGTAAATATCAAAGTGATTTGGGAGATATGTAAATACATAAAAAATAAGTGATATGTATGTCAATCCCCAAAATTTATTGATTCTATTTTGTAAATAAATTGTTGTCTTAATTCATTAAGCCCATCTTGATCAAAACTAATAAACTATACCCGCTACAAATTCATTATTGGATAATGATAGACCTTAATAAAGTAATTAGATACGGTCAAGACAACATTAAAATCATGAAAAATTCATCCAATGACCACCAAAAAATAGAAAATCCTAAATTAAATGCCAGCTCCACATAAAATATCATTCCCAAAATTTGGAATTTTAAGCAAATCCAAACAATTCTGAGCTTGCAGACATCATAAGATTGCAAAAAACACATGCTAATGAATTTTATAAAAAACGCAAGTACTATTGCAATTTCTGGAACAAAAATAGACAATAGCTTGCCCAAAAATTTTGCCCCGGTAAATTGTTTGGCTTTAGGAGTAAGAATTATAGTTTACTAAGACAAAAATTTCTGCCTTGTACACCAAAAATACGTTAGCATGGATCTTGAGAAAATATGATAGGTGAAAGAAGACCCACCAATGATTAAAATAAACAACAGCTGAGCCAAAAACATCCATTGACTCAATTGCCTTGGAGCAGAATTCAAAGCCGATTGACAAACTGTAAAAGCCAATTGACCAATTAGGGCAGATTGGTCAAAGATTCTGCTAACTGACAAAAAGCTTCAGTTGGCCAGCCATTTAAATCTTGCAGAACCTGTCGAGTGGCCTCTCACCGATCCAAAGATTCCTGATCGCAAGTTGTCGATTGACAGGAAGAGTCGAGCTGAAGACATTTATTTATTCAGCAATTTAAACGTATATTTAAATCTTCATTTATTTATTTTTTACTAAACTATGATGTAGTGCCTCTATTAAGACACGAGCAAGGAGGTAATTGTACTTTTTGTATCCTTTTTTTTTTGGCAATATATAGGAGGTCATTTTAAAAGGCTAATAGATGAGTGATAAAAAAAACTCCAGAAATTATAAGCTATTGTGATGCAGCTATTCCAGAATGTGAACCTTCCAGATACACTTAGCTACTTATTTGTTTTATTTGTCTTAGTTGATTGCTAATAAACTACTTATATTATTTTTATTATCTTAATTACCTGTTATGAGGGAAGTGGTCCTCTCCAGTTAGTTAGCTGACACACACAAAGTGATGTGAAGCATGGGTGGCTTACGCAAATATATGCTGTGTATCAGTAGTATCAGGATTAGAGTCCAGTTGTCGATCCCATAGGGAACGAGGAAATCCCAATTTAGGAAAAGCTCTAGTCTATGATTGTTAGCCCATGATTGAAAGTTTGGTCTAATTAAAATCCAATACAAATATCCTAAATTAACAGCAATCAATTTGAAAAGTTACTAAAGTATGAGAGAAGATTCTCCTTAGAAAGGTTTAAAAGGAAAGCGTATGTGATAACTTAAATAATAAATCAGATGCTGAACAGGAGTAGTTCTTTTTCTTATCCTCTTCTAGTGGAATAAAAAAGATCGAATAAAGATCGTATCAGTTCACTAATAACAACTCTATCCCATTCACAAATCTCTCCTTAAAAGTTTGCATTAACTTAGTAGATATGTTCCTATTCCATCAAAATAGTGTGATTAACTCAATCGATTTTATTACCATTTCTTCCAAGATTCACAACTCACGATTAATATTAACACCCCACTGTTGACCTCATTTTTGTGAGGTCTTGTCTTCTCCTCCTTAGAGCCTAGATTCTAGCTCTAGAAATTCCTGTGGACTATCTTAGAAAATTAGAATTGAGACTCACCCTTCTAGAAATTCCAGCCAATTCCTATTTTCCTTTGATGTCTAGCATCTTTGGCACAAGACCATCGTCTTATGAACGAGCGGTTATGGGCTATGTTGCGTAGATTCAAAGAAAATGTTCCAAATAGGACTTCAAGCCTTAGGAAAACAT